GTCTGCTTTCAACTCTGATCAACCCGGGAGGCAGAACAAGATCCTGCCTCAAAAAAGTATAATAAAAGAAAAGAAGGGCCGGGCACGGGCTCACACTTGTAATCCCAGCACTTTGGGAGGCCAAGGCAGGTGGATCATGAGGCCAGGAGTTCAAGACCAGCCTGGCTAACACTGTGAAACCCTGTCTCTACTAAAAATACAAAAATTAGCTGGGCATGGTGGCGGGTGCTTGTAATCCCAGCCACTTGGGTGGCTGAGGCAGGAGAATCGCTTGAACCTGGGAGGTAGAGGTTGCAGTGAGCCGAGATCGCACCACTGCACTCTAGCCTGGGTGACAGAGCCAGACTCCGTCTCAAAAAAAAAAGAAAGAAAAGATGAGGAAATGGAGAGTTGGAAACTGACTTTCCTGTAATGACATGTTACATTTGTTGAGTGCCTATGATGTTGGGCACTCTGCTAAGTGCTTTGTGTTTATATTTTTAATCTTAGAAACTTCAAATGGCATCATTTTCCCCATTTTTCACACAAGGGATACATTAGCTCATGTGGTTAGTTAGAGGAAGTACTTATTACAGTAAATGAGAACATTCATAGGGGAGTAGAATCAGGGAGAATAGAAGCCACCTATGTTTTTACATTCACATAGTTTGAATATTTAACATTAAACTTATTGCTGTTTTTAACATTCCACAAAAAACCTATGATAAAATGTGAAGTCTAAATGAGAAACTGTTCTCACTACGTAAACTAACTAGAAGAGTTTTATCTTTCATGTGAGTTTAAATTTTTTTTTATTATGACAAGACATAGTAGGAGACAGTACATCGTAGTAGAAACACAGGCTTTGGAGTGAGATGTAGTACCTGGTTGGGTTTTTTTAAATCTCCGCTCGGCTATTACTTGCTTTATATGTTAGACAAATTGCTTAACTTTTGTAAGCCTTAATTTCTTTATTTATAGAGTAGTCATTATAATAGTAATTAATTTATTCTAAGCATTTGTATTAGTATTCTCACTTATCCTCACAACAACCCCAACAAGGTGGGCATTATTATTACCCTCTTAGTTTAAATAAGGAAATTGAAACACCAAGTAATGAGCTGAAGTTCAAATAATTATCTTAATTGGTAGAGCCCCTTCAGGTGACTCTAGGGCCTTCATTATTAATTACTCTAGCACCTTTTAAGTGTTTTGAGGATTGAAGGTCATTTTGAAAATATTCAATTAATGTAATTCAGTCTTATTAATAAAATGTACTGATTTGAGTACTTTCTTTTTTTTCAAGTTTAAGTAAGTCTTTAAAAAACAATTTTCCTTCATGAAGAGAAAGTTAATTTTATCACATGGGGGAGAAAACATAAAAGGTCAAATGGTGCATATATCTAATTCCTTGATTACAAAAAACTAATATTAAAATGCATGAAACTATTAGAGGTAAAGATACGTATACTCTACTGGATATTTTCTTGCAGTGAACTTTTTTTTCTTTTTTAAGATTGTGAAGCATTCCCTCCAATGGCTTTTTGTCAGTTGAGACTCCAAAAGAATCTTTTATAATATAGAAGATATTACTGAGTAATCAGTGTCTGGAGCTCAGCCAAATGTTTCTTTTGAGCTGATTAAATTAAAAGCCAAGGAAATCTGTACAAATAAATTGACTCTGTTTTCCAAGCCATACATGTGCACTATAGCTGAGAATACTGTGCATATGGATGCAAGCAACAGTATCTTAATGTTCTACTACTTTTTTTCTCTATGTTAATCATAAAACAAAGCTATGAAAAAAAATCACAGAAAGATTTTTGCCTATAATTTCAGGGTGTTCACAGACCCTGCTCTGTCAATTTAAAAACATACATATAAAATCCTTGCTATAAGACAATATATATTAAATGATATTAAAGAAGTATTTGAAAATAAACTTAGGTAGACTTTTTTCTGTCCTAGTATATGTGTCCATGTGTTCTTTTTTCTGTCAGTCAGTTCTCTAGTGCGAACTCATCCTTATCAGCCCTTCATTTAGATGAAGAAATGGGAGCGTGGGATTCACAATTTGATTTTTAAATAGTCACTAATATTTATAAAATTGTATCAATTTGTAGAATTAGAATAGATCTATCTAATTTATACAATTAGAAATAGAAATTAAAATACATCTGCAGATAAGTTTTTTTTGTTTTTTGGTTTGAGATAGAGTCTTGCCCTGTCATCTAGGCTGGAGTGCAGTGGTACAATCTCAGCTCAATGCAACCTCCTCCTCTTGGGTTCAAGCGATTCTCCTGCCTCAGCCTCCCAAACAGTGGGGACTACAGTTGCACACCCTCACGCCCAGCTAATTTTTGTATTTTTAGTAGAGGCGGGGTTTCATCATGTTGGCCGTGCTGGTTTGAACTCCTGGCCTGAAGTGATCTGCACGCCTCGGCCTCCCAAAGTGTGTGGATTACAGGTGTGAGCCCCCACTCCTGGCCTGCAGATGAGTTTTTTGAAACTTATGGATTTGTAATCAGCAATTTATTTCCTGAGTTTTTCTTATTGCTCTTTATAGCTAAAGGGGAAAAAATTATAGTCAAATACTTTGAGAGATTACTCAACCAAATTTCCCTCTAAATGGATACAAATACAGTATCATCATTCACAAAGCCTTTGCTGTATACATACCCTTATGTATACTTTAGTGATAAGCCATCTGCCTTACAGAGTTGAGCAGATTATATGAGGCATTTGTAAAGTTTCTGGCACATAAGTGATGGTAGATTTTTGTCTAATGCTGGATTTGTTCCAGTATAATATTATTAGGTACCAGAAACCAAAAGACTGATACATTGCCTTCTCTAGCCTCAAAAAATGTATTTGCTTCGCAGTAGAGGAAAGAGCTATTTAACAATTCCATAAGAAGCCTGTTGAGGCCGGGCACGGTGGCTCACGCCTATAATCCCAGCACTTTGGGAAGCCGAGGCGGGTGAATCACGAGGTCAAGAGATCAAGACATGGTGAAACCCCGTCTCTACTAAAAATACAAAAAATTAGCTGGGTACGGTGGCACGTGCCTTTAATCCCAGCTACTCAGGAGGCAGAGGCAGGAGAATTGCCTGAACTCAGGAGGCGGAGGTTGCGGTGAGCCGAGATCACGCCATTGCACTCCAGCCTGGGTAACAAGAGCGAAACTCTGTCTCAAAAAAAAAAAAAAAAGGCCTGTTGCTTGTGCTGATTTGCAAAATTGTGTCAATTGGGAGGACTCCACTGTCTTTTCCATTAGTGTGAACAAAAGTGGCTAATAAAAACAAAAGTAACTTGATTTATCCAACTGGAAACAAGGTGTCCAGTGGACCTGTGCCTTCTCTCTTTTATATAAAAGATCTATCTAAATACGAAGATATTTTTAGAAGCTTGAAATGGAAAGAACTAAAGCTTGTTCATTAGGATTAAGAGAATTGGTATTGTTTTAAGGATATGTATAAAGCCTCATTGTCTAATGTTAATTGACATGCTTTCCTGCTAATATAAAGCACCAGTTTAATTTTTTTTTTCCAATGTGGCAGGAGTGGTTCCCTACCTGTCCTACCTGTGAATCTTCAAAGTATTATGGGGAACCTGTAAGTTACATCCTGTATTTCAAACGCCTATAAGAAATCATGTACTTTTCCATAATGTGACTTTATAGGACAAATGTTAGGTTTAACTTTTTTTCTTTTGAGATAAGGTCTCACCCTGTTACCCAGACATGGAGTACAGTGTCATGATCTCAGCTCACTGCAGCTTTGACCTTTCAGGCTCAGGTGATCCTCCACTTTAGCCTCCCAAGTAATTGCGACCACAAGTGCACACTACCACACCCGGATAACTTCTTTGTATTCTTTGTAGAGATGGGGTTTCTTCATGTTGCCCAGGCTGGTCCCAAACAACTGGGCTCATGCAACCCGCCCATCTCTGCCTCCCAAAGTGCTGGGATTACAGGCATGAGCCACCATAACCAGCTGCATTATCTTACAATAAAACTGATAAAATAATTATTGTATATATGTAACTAGAAGCCTTCCCTTACCTACCTCCAAAGATGAGCTAATTGAACATTCTCTGTGCATGCTTCCTTCACTTCGCTTTCCATTTGACAAGATTTCTTTCTGTGTCTCTCTGAAATATAAACTGGAATGCATTCACTTCACAAAGAGTAGTCTTCTTACTTTTCTTGAAGGATTCAAATTTGTTCTTATTGTTAGGGTCTAATTTGTTATTTCCTCTGTCTGGAATACTCTTCCTCCAGAAGTTCAAATGACCTGCTTCTTCCTTTTAGTAAGGTCTAAGCAGATAACACTTTCTGCCATCCTCTGTCCTATTTCATTTCATCACAACACATTACTCCTTTCATATTTGTGTTTTTTTATTGAAAGTTTACCATACTAGACCTGAAGTATTATGATAGCAGGGACATTCACTTGATTTTCCCTGCTCTGTTTCCAGCAGTTAGGAAAATCCTTGCAACAGAGTTAGGTACATAATATTTGAAGAGATTTGTGAGTTTTTTGACTGTCTCTTAATGATACTGTAGCTATAGTGAATAAAACAGGCATGAATTCTGTCTCGAGATTCAATCTTTTCTATAGCCTTGTTTAACTGCGAGCCTAAATAAATCTGAAGTGATTTAAAACTGTCATAGATTGGACATATTTGTTACTTGCTTTAATATATTTGTTGTCTTTAGGCATATGTCTTATTCCTATGTGAAACAGACATTAACATAATTATCAATCTATTTATTAAACATACAAGAATCTTCAAAATTATGATTCAACTCTTCATTTGACTGACAAATTGACATAGGTTTTTAGAAATGAAGTGAAATTTTCTAAAATCACATGCTTAATGACAGGGCTGGTATTTTAAGCTAACCTTCTAACTTTAAATTCAGTGAATTTTTTGGTAGCTGCTAAATGATTTGAAAATAAAATATTTTAAAGTCCTCTTTATTTGAATAAACTTTTTTGCCACTTTGTTTCTCTATAGCAAAGTAGCCTCTATTTGTTCAGTAAGTTATACATAAATTGGCTTCTGGTGGTTTAAAGGATTTTATCACAACTCTTTTTCTTTGGTTTGAATTTGTAATTTTAATTATGAAATATGTCAAACATACAGAAAAATGTAGAGTCATATAAAAGATTTCTGTGTACCCATCACAGAGAATTAGTAAGTGTTAACATTTAAGGAAAAAAAGAAAAAGGTATGATCCCTCCCTTCTGTTATTTGTCCTTTTATCATCAAATATTTTTTAGTATGTGTGGTATATAATAGACACTCCCAATAAATGTTAACTATTAAAAATCTGTAACTGGCAGTTACATATGTATGATTCAAAATGAGTAAATAAATTGCCAGACATTTTTGTATTCACAGATACTCATTTATGAGTGACTTGCAATTAGTCATACAATCAGCCTCCATAACCATGTGTTTCACATACTTGGGTTTAACCAATCCCTATCAAAAATATTCAAAAAAATTTGAAAAGACATTAGAAATACAGAATAACAGCGATTTACAAAGCATTTATATTGTATTTAGTATTAAAAGTTGAGTATCCCTAATCTGAAAAACCAAAATCCAAAATGCTCCAAAATCTGAAACTTTGAGCACTGACATGACACAAAATAAATGCTCATTGGAGCATTTCAGATTTAAATGTTCACATTAGGGATGCTAAATCAGTAAATATAATGCAGATATTCCAAAATCTTTTTTAAAAATTCAAAACACTTCTGGTCCCAAGCATTTTAGATAAGGGTTACTCAAGTGTATGAAAGGATGTGCTTACATTATATGCAAATACAGTCATACCCCTCCTGAGGTAAGTATTCAGGAGGAATTGATACCAGGACCCCAGAGGATACCAAAATCCACAGATGCTCAAGTTCTTTATGTAAAATAGTATAGTGTTTGTATATAATCTGTGTACATTCTCCCAAATATTCTAAATAATCTCTATACTAATAATAATACAATGTAAATGCTGTGTAAATAGTTGTTAGACAAGAAATGAAACGTCTATACACGTTTATACCATCAATTTTTTCCCACATATTTTCAATCCCAGGTTGGTTGAATCCACGTACATGGAGCCTATGGATACAGACCAAATGCATTACCACACAACACCATTTTATGTAGGGTATTTGAGCATCCTCTGGTTCTGGTATTTGTGGGAGGGTCCTGGAGCCAATCCCTCACAGATACTGAGGGACAACTGTATGCTTTTCTTTAAAAGTCTTGGCTCTAGCTAATGCTAGTTCATTTCTATGAAGGCCATAATTTGTAATTTTGTTGAAGCTCACATTCAGTCAACCCATCTGTTTTCTGTATAAGCAGTAGTGAAAGTCACTTAGCCAGTTGGCTCTGCATCCAAATATCAATAACCTTGTGCTCTAATCTCTTCCATATTGCATCTTGACTGCATTGTGCCGAGAGGTATTCACTAATGTAGATACTCGGTAAGGCTTCAGGTTTTACCTTTAAAAACATTCAAGGTCAAGTAAATTATTTAGCAAACTGTCTTAAATGACATTGACATTAAGGTATATTTGTGCGTGTATCCAGCACATTTATTGGGCACTGATTTTGTGACAGACATTGTGCCGGGTTCTGGACTGACCCAGGAAGCTCACAACTTTGAGTGATACATGTCAATAATAAATGTATGTATCCTCTGTTATTTAGTAGAAAAGAGGAAGCCCTAACAGCTTGTAGAAGTCAAAGCAGTGAAGAAAGGAATGCTCTACAGAAGACGACAGATAAAATGAGGGACGTCATTAACTTCTATCTAGGCACAGAGATATTATGGTTTTTGTCATGTTTGGGGAACTACAAGTCACTGGACTACACTGAACGAAGTTGAGAGAATAGTTCAGATGAGGATGAAAACTAAGGCAAGCATTTTTTTATACTCAAAAGCTTCAAAATTATTTTAAGCAAGAATACGTATGCAAAACAAGTTTTTTTTGAGAAACTGCAGTATAGATTTTCTTTAGAAATATATACTTGAAAAAAAATATGTAAACTTGAATATATTTTCTTTAGAAATACATACTTGAATATATTTTCTTTAGAAATATATACTTGAATATATTTAAGTACTGTAAACTGTGCTTCCAAAAAGTCAGCTATTGTGAAATTGATCGGGCGCGGTGGCTCACATACCTGTAATCCCAGCACTTTGGGAGACCAAGGCCGTGGATCACCAGAGGTCAGGAGTTTGAGATCAGCCTGGCCAACAGGGTGAAACCTCGTCTCTACTAAAAATGCAAAACTTAGCTGGGCGTGATGGCAGGAGTCTGTAATCCCAGCTACTCACGAGGCTGAGGCAGGAGAATTGCTTGAACACAGGAGGCAGAGGTTGCAGTGAGCCAAGATGGTGATTCCACTCCACTTCCAGCCAGAGCAACGGGACGACTGTCTCAAAAAAAAAAAAAAAAAATCATCTATTGTGAATAAATTTTCAAAGTGCTAGTAAGTGTAACATTAAAATATCTTTTCTAAAAGTTTGAGTGACAAAACAAATTGGTCACAGATTTAATGTTACCAAAATTCACGGACATTGAAGATTCCAGGACATTTTATACTGCTGGTGGTGGGGTGGCATCTTGGCTTGGGTGTAAATACCGTTAGTAACTGGATAGATCTGTAGATGATTATCAGTATGTTTGAGTAGTATTTAATAAGAATAGTTGCTAAAGTGACTTTCTTCAGGGAGATGAATGCTTGCTTTAAAAAAAAAAAAACTGTATACTTTTCTTCTCTCTTCCGAAGAAGAAAAGAAAAACAAGAGGGACGAAGATGGACAGCGGTGCTTCGCATTTCTCGAGCTGCAGGCTGGGCTGCTGGGCCTGCGGGGGGTGGAGCCGACGCTGACGCGCCCCGCGCCGCAAGGCATTGTGGGAGCTCGAGCCCGCTAGTGTGGTGGTTGGAGGCGAGGTGGGGCGGCCGTTTGTTTTCTCGTGGTCTGGAACTCGCGCGCTCTCCTCCCCTCCCCCGCGGCGCGCGGCGGGGGGGTAGAAACGGCGGCGGCGGCGGCGGCGGCAGCGGCAGCAGTAGCAGTAGCAGTAATAGCAGAGGCTGTAGCATCGGACACCCTCCTCTCCCGCGAACCGGTTCCTCTTCCCCCTTCTTCTCACTGTTTGTTGTGTGTTTGATGTGTTAAAGCAGGAGCGAGAACCCGAGCAGCGCCATGAGCAACACTACCGTCGTCCCTAGCACTGTGGGTCCGGGCCCCAGCGGCGGGCCCGGTGGCGGAGGTGGTGGCGGCGGAGGCGGCGGCACCGAGGTAATCCAGGTGACTAATGTCTCCCCGAGCGCTAGCTCTGAGCAGATGCGGACTCTCTTCGGTTTCCTAGGCAAGATCGACGAACTGCGCCTCTTCCCGCCGGAGTGAGTATCGTCCACCATCACGGTTTCTGCTAACGCAGCCTTAGCCTAGGCCTAAACCACCCACCATTCCCTTAGGCCCCTGTCGCTACTTCCCCGGGCCAGGCTGCTTGAGTGGCTGCTGGCTTAGGACAGTTGTTGTGTTCTAGGCCTATAAAAAAATGCAGAGAGGCAGAGCCAGGGCTTTTTGGGATTAGGAAACACTGGCTCTTATTCTCGGGAATTTTTTTTTTTGCCTTAAAGTGTGCCAACGTGGTCGTTTGGCTTTGGGGGCCTAACGCAAAACTACACTCTGTACTTAGTATATAGGTTAAATGCCTTTTTTAAAAATATCAAGTATTTCTTCGCGTTCTTAAGAAAGGTAACAAAGTTACTCATGCTTGTGTTAATTTGGTGTTGAACTTTGTAGGTAGTTGTTCACTTATTGCTAAGTATTGTGGTTCTGGCCCAGCAATATAATTCAAAGATCATATTCTCTTCTACAGACAATTTAGTGAACCTGATTACTTAATTTTTATAATGTCATAAAATGGGTTGTAGCTGAAACCAGAGATTTTCCTTTGTTTGAATAATAAGCAGATTTGTGATATTTCACAGTTGTTGAGAAGGATTGTTATAAATGTTGAAATCTGAATTAGTGTGTATGAGTTTTTATCCTTTTGTGTCACTTTTATTTTGAAAGCTGTTTCTATCGAAAGAATACTAAGTGGATTAATTGTAAAGAAAAATAGTTAAAAGAATCCATGAAGTAAGATAAGGTATACTATTAAAACAAACATTTGGAATAATGATAGTCTTGTGCTTTTTGGAAGGCTTACTGGTGGAAAAGTGACAATTCAAATGTTATTGTCAGTAAACACTATAATTGAGAATTTTATGATGTCACTTACATACTAAACAGGAAATTGGAATCCTGTAAGAATCTACTGTTATGGTATGTGTAAGAAAGTATTAATTTTCTGCTCAATAAAATCGATAAAAGTTTATCATAATGAGATATTTGTTAAATATTAGCATATTTCATCAGTTTACATTTAAAATGCTTTTGCAAGATTATTGGTGTTTTCAAATTGGTATGTTGCTAATTTTTAGAGAAATGAACATGTGGAGAGAGGATTCACGTAGTTTGCATGACGTGTTCTGGGAACAAACATGTTTTTATTCCATTTATTTTGCAGATACTTGTCTTTGGTAATGAAGGACAAATAGCTTTCATAATATGAACATATAAAATAGATGCTTTTCAATTTTCTTATGACTGTTTTAAGCTCATAAAATTAATAAACAGTAAAAAAGCAGAAAACAGTGAAACAGTGGATGATTGTAATCATTTTATTAGATTTATTATAAATTGAGATGCTCGATTTATGACAATTCTTTCCAGTCCCACAAGTTAAGAATTTTGTTATAGTTACTTTTAAATGCTGTTTATTCTCTGAAGACAGTTTTATGATGCACTTATAAAAAGGTAATAGAGATGTAGGCATTATACTGGTTCATCTTTTGCCTAATGCATGACCAGTATCTTAGAGGAAGTTGTGATGGAGCAGAGTCTGGCTTTTTTTTTTGGTAATCAAATGAGTGTAGATCCATCATAACCAGAACTGCTAATGTATGCCTGAGAATTTCTCTCCCAACTATATAATCTGGCATACTCTGCATAAAAAGGACTCCTTTCCCTATATTGAGAGAGAGAGAGAGATAAATTGACATGTTTTTACTCTTTTTTTTTTTTTGAGACAGAGTTTCGCTCTTGTTACCCAGGCGGGAGTGCAATGGCGCAATCTCGGTTCACCTCAACCACCGCCTCCTGGGTTCAGGCAATTCTCCTGCCTCAGTCTCCTGAGTAGCTGGGATTACAGGCACGCACCACCATGCCCAGATAATTTTTTGCATTTTTAGTAGAGATGGGGTTTCACCATGTTGACCAGGATGGTCTCGATCTCTTGACCTCATGATCCACCGGCCTTGGCCTCCCAAAGTGCTGGAATTACAGGCTTGAGCCACCGCACCCGGCCGACATGTTTTTACTCTTGACTACTTCATTTATCTTCCCACATACAGGATCATTTTTTCTTTGAAAATGTAGAGTTTACAAATAAGGTAAATGTTATTGGTGGCATTCTACATTTGATCAGTAATGTAGAAGGCTACTTTTATTCACTTGATGTTGCATTTTATTTATTGAACTGTATCAGTAAATTAATCTGACTTGTACAAGTTGCATAAAATTTGTTGGTAATTTCTATCAACTTAGTAGAGTTTTCAACAGTACCTTGCCAGAGAAAATGTGCTGTGGATTCCCAGTAGTCCGCAAGGGTTCATCACTTCAACAATATTTACTCTTATAACATTGAATGGTTCAGATTACATAAAATTCTATCTGTTGTGAAGAGGTCACCTAATTGTAACTATTATCTACACAGTTGGCCTTCTTCATCTCTGAGTTCCACATCCATGGATTCAACCAACTGTGAATTGAAAATATAAGGAGAGTGCATCTGTACTGAACATGTACAGATTTTTTTCTTGTCATTCCCTAAACATTACTGTATAGCAACTATTTACATAGTATTTACATTGTATTAGGCATTATAAGTAATCAAGAGATGATTTAAAGTGTACAAGAGGATGTGCACAGGTAATTTGCCATCATTTTATTTTTCCTCCATCTCTTCCCCCTACGTACGTTATTTTATATAAGGGACTTGACCATCTGTAGATTTTGTTATCTGCAGGGAGTCCTGGAACTATGGATAATGAGGGAAAACTGTATGTGATTTCCCTCAAGAAGGCAGTCATATGCACCTGTAACTCTTTTTCCCCAGACATATCTGGGGAAAATAAAAACTACTTTTATTTTTCCAATGTCATTTTAATCAGAGAAACCTTCCCAGACCACCCTGTATAAAATAAAGCACCCCTGCTGCTTCTTTATTCTACTTAACACTGCTTTTTTTCTGTAGCACTTGTCACCAGTTGACAGGTTAAGTTTAACAACTTCTCTCCTGTAGAATATGAGATGCTTTAAAATGCATATGTGACTGAATCTCACCTACACCTACTGAAGCTCTTAATTTCAGTTCTGAATGCCTACTTTGGGGAATCATTTCTTGGATTATGACAGACATGACAACCTGCTCAAGAAGGTCTCCTGCATTGCCATTGTTAAACCCACCTATTCTTTTAAACCAGAATTTCTGGCCTATAATTTCACTGAGAAACAGGAATACTATCTTTACAATAGGTAATCTAATCCTTTCTACAGCGTGACAGCCCTGCAGCTATTTGAAAGCATCTGTCAGTGTACCCTTCATATACTCTCAGTTAAGCTGTTATTTTGACTCTGGTTGTTCATGAAACACGTATTGGAACACATAGCATTGTTTAAGTGTCTGTTGTAAGTTGGTTGCTTTCTAAATAGATCTTAATTCTTACAAACCCAGAAGAAAAATGTTTGTGACCCTGTTTTACCAGTTCATGAACTGAAATTTACATTGCTTTTTTTTTATATGCCCAAGCCATACTGCCAGTGTCAGAACTAGAACTTGAACCCAATGTTGTGACTCAGTCAAGAGTTGGTTGATTTAGCCATGTAAGATCTTCACATTTGGTTTTAGTGGAATTGCCCAGTGAAGTGCTTATCAGGTGATGATCCCAGTGAAGCATGTCACAGTTATTTAATAATTTAAGGCTCCTGTAATACAGAGATAAACTGAAGTTCATTAGTAACTTTGCAGTGACCAAAGTGGATACTTTAAAGCTCATATAAGTATAAATTTGTATATTAGGTAAGGGAAAGAGTTCAATGTACCTTTAAAGAAAAAAATTGTTTTAATAGATGCAGCATTTTACTGTATGTTTCTTTACATAGTGAGAAGGAGGCACGTGAGGTCAACAGTCAAGTTTTCAGGTTAATGTCCTTGTCACATAAACACCTCCCTTTCCAAGGTAATTTTGTTTATGAGCTCAAAATTCTCCACTTTTGAGTGGAAGTTGAAAGGCTGATACCAGTGGCCTAAACCTGAAGTTCTCATGTGTTAGTAGGCATAAATACCTTGGAAGAATCTGGGCCTTCATGTAAAAAGGATTCTCTCTAGACTATAGGTGAGCAGCAGAAATCTCACTTTTCTGTGTGTAACCCAGAGGATTCTGAAACAGCTCTCAAATGACATGTAAGAACTTTTAAAACCTATGCCACCACTTTTAGGTGGAGGGCAAAAGTAGCGCATGCAGGACTAACTTTACCCTGTCTTGTTCCTCATTTCTCCCTATTTTATATTAATTCTTAGAGATACAGAATAAAATACATGTCATATTTGGAAGCAGTACTGCCACAAAATTTCAGGGCATGAAAATTAATTTGGGGCATTAGTCCTCTATCTTATATTAACATACTGTCTTTTTAAGATAAATTTTATTGGGAGGCTGAGGCAGGTGGATCATGTCAGATCAGGAGTTCAAGACCAGCCTGACTAATATGGTAAAACCCAGTCTCTACTAAAAATACAAAAAATTAGCTGGAAGTGGTGGCTCATGCCTGTAATTCCAGCTACTCAGGAGGCTGAGGCAGGAGAATCGCCTCAACCTGGGAGGCAGAGATTGTGGTGAGGCGAGATTGTGCCATTTCACTCCAGCTTGGACAGCAAGAGTGAAACTCTCAAAAGAAAAATTTTATTTTATTTTATTTTTTCTTTTTTTGAGACAGAGTTTCGCTGTTGTTACCCCGACTGGAGTGCAATGGCACGATCTTGGCTCACCGCAACCTCCGC